CAAAAAAATGGAAAAAGAAAAAATAGCACAGTGTTTATAACTTAGGTTTATTCTCCTGTACGCATCAGTCATCTCTTGATTATTTATAATCTCCAATGCAATGTGAACTCTCTGAGAATAATTGTCACCTTGTATTTTTAGGGAATAATGACAAGAAAAAATATCTGCACATGTTCAGTATGGACAAAATTTTTTTTCAAGTATAATTGATCCAAGGTTGATTGAATCTGGATATGGAGAGGTGGCTGCATCCATGTGTACATGATAAACATAATATATACTTACATAATGCACATATATTATTTCAGAATGCTTTCTCCATTGGTAGCATATCATGACTAGCTTCCTACAGCAATCATATATGCTACCATCTTTTTAAAAGATAATTGTAAACTGGGGATGGTGGCCTACGCCTTTAATCCCAACACTCAGGAGGCAGAGACAGGCGGATCTCTGTGAGTTCGAGGCCAGCCTAGTTCTACACAGCGAGTGCCAGGCCAGCTGGGGCTACAGGGAGACCCTGTCCCAAAAAGACCAAAAAAAAGAAAAAAAGATAATTGTAAATTGACATGCAAAAAACAGCATAGAGAGATCCTGTGCACAATTTACCCAGTTCCCCCAGTGGTTACATCTTGAAAACTGTAGTGAAAAAAAGTAGAAAACAAACAAATAAAAACCAAGATCACAATCAGGATTGGTACAATCCAAAGATTGTATTTAGATTTCTCTAATTTTACTTGTAAGCATTAGGGTCTGGGAGAGAAGGAGGGAGAAGGAGGGAGGGAGGGAGGGAGGGAGAGAGAGAGAGAGAGAGAGAGAGAGAGAGAGAGAGAGAGATCAGAGGACAACCTGCAAGAGTCAATTCTCTCTTTCCACCGTGTGGGCCCTGGGTATCAAGCTCAGGTGTCAGGCTTGGCAAGAACCTTTACCTGCTGATTAATGTCACCACTCTTTGGGGCTTTTTGTTTTTATGTGTGTGAGTGTTTGGCCTTTATGTATATAAATGTACCAGTACAGATAATGCCTACGGAGGCCCAAAGAAGGCATCAGATTACCTAGAACTGATGTTATAGACAGTTGTTAGCCACCGTGTGGGTTCTGGAAACTGAACCCAGGTCCTCTGCAAGAGCAGCCAGTGCTCTTAACTGCTAAGTCTCTCTCCAGCCCTTCCTTTTGGACTTTTTAAAGTAGATCCTGGGCCAACTTCCTCCCTTTCGGTCCTTGAATATAAACTTGATCTTTTCATTGGTCATTCCTTCTCCTGTGTTCCAGAGCACCTCCAGGACTCAGAGGAAGAGCTTGCACTGACAGCCATATTTCCAAACGGAGACTGTGAAGACTGTGAAGACTGTGGAAGTGGGTCAAGAGCTCAGGATGGAGTTGTCCACGTACCCTCTGAGCCCATGGAGGATACAAGATGAAGGCTGGATCTTTGAACTGTCCCTGACCTGCACACTGGGGTCTGGCCCTTCTCAGTGACCCCCCTATGTTACCATGTTAACCTTGGCAGGTAGTGACTGTAAAGACCCCACTGGCTCAAGGCCTGCCACCTTGGCTATTGCTACCTAGGCAACAAGGCTTCTCCTAGGACCTGCTCCACACTTAGTGTTTGCTCACCTGTGATCATGGTGCTGTTATCTTGTCTCTTTGGCCCTTCATTTCTCTGAACCAAGGAGACAGATAACTGTCTACTGTGCCACTCTGCAGACTTGTCACTCAGTGTCTGGTTCCCAAATGAATGAGAGGGCTGCCAGTCCAATGGTATTCCACCAGGGGTCAGGCTGCACCTCCAGGCAACATCATAGGAAACGTGTGTGTATGTTGTGTTTTTCTATTTCAGAGGGTCACTGTGACTGCCAGGCACCCATGGCAATTAGTGGGCATCTCACAATGTGTATCACAGTCCAACAGCAAAGAATTGGTTCACTCATAATGCTAATTGTGACAGCTTTGAGAAAAGGAAGGGTCAATCCCTTCTCCCTGTCATTCTGTGAAGAGCTCCCCTCAGGCTTCCTGGAGACTTGGCTCCCAGAACAAGCCAAAATAAAGACCTCACTGTTGTTGTCGGGGCATGTCGGGCCAGAGCCAAGATGCTTTGTGTGTTGCAGGGCCAGGACAGAAATAGCCTTGCATGCCTGTGAGAAGAAAGGGCCTCTGTCTTTCTCATGTTGACACTGTCTATCTGTGCCAAATCCCTTAAGGAAAAAAATTGCTGGGAGCTGCTTATAGCACCAAGGAGAAGTCAAGTGAGGGCATGGGATACTCAGTCCCCTGGACTTGCACTAGGTCTTGAGTCTTAGTAGACACAGGGTCAAAGTAGACACAGACAGGAGGTTCTGGGATCTTCCCTCTGAGCCTGTGAGTTGCACAGGTGGGTTCTCTGCAGATCTGGTCAGGCTATTTGCTCATGCATAGTGGCAATTTGGGATTGCCTCTCTTGTCTTCCCTGCCTGCCCCTACAGAAACCAGTCTTTGGACCTGCAAGGGCCCTTCCTGATTTTCCTTGATGTGGGAGAAGCACCGTCTAAATCCATAGACTCATTTGTTATCTACTGAACAGATGTGCCTGTACTTTGCATAGCTCCGTGTAAAGGACTGCCTTTGCATAATAATTTCAACTCTCTCTGTGATGGTACCAAGGGAGGGTGCCTTCCCTGCTCTGTGCCTCAAATTCATCTTGGTAATCCACAGTCTAACCCTATCCCTTCTCAGCCTCATGGGGAGAATGTAAGGTGCAGAGGGATGGCATCTTACTGGGATTAAGTGGAAGTGAACATCAAGGGTTGTCTCATGGGAGGTGGTCCCAATCGGCATCCTTTACTCAAGAATGAACTGAAGGCTGGGGATGTAGTTCAGTTGGTAGAGTGCTTGCTTAGCGTGTACAAGGCCCCTGGGTTTGATCCCCAGCACTCCATAAACCAGCTGTGGTGGCACACGCCTCTAAGACCAGCACTTGGAAGGTGGAGGCAGGAGGATCAGAAATTCAAGTTCACCCTCAGCTACACTGTAAATTCAATGCCAACCTGGAATACGTGAGACCTTGTTTCTCAAAAAAGAAAAAACTGGGCATGGTGGCACATGCTTTTAATACCAGCAGAAGCAGACAGATCTCTGTGAGTTCAAGGCCAGCAGCCTAGTCTAAATAGTGAGTTCAAGGGCAGGCAGTCCTGTCTCAAAAACACCAAAAAAGAGAGAGAGAAAAAGACCAATTCAACTGATTGTTTTTGAATGGGAAGACTGATCTTTTTGAAGCTGCTATGTTTTTTGTTACAATGTTGATTTCTGCATAATAATTTGGTTGGAGTTTTATTATTTGTTCAGGGAAAGGGGCTTTTTAAGGTTAGGAATTCATCTAAGGCAGAAGTTAGAAGGCTTATATTTGATATCTGTTACTAGTATTTGAAATGTGGGAGATTGCACATTAAAATCACCTAGTCTTCTGGGTGTGGGTAGGCACACCTTCCTCTCCAGTTTACTCTGGTTCCCACCCCACCCCACTGCTCTTCACTCACAGGACCCTGCATTTGATCTGCAGACTCTGGTCTACAGGGTGATGTACACAGCATTCACATTAGGCTTTTTAAATTACCTTTAGTATTCTTGTCACTAGTTGAATAGGTCTTTGTTTCCTGAGACTTGGGTCCTGCCTCCCAACTGGTAAAAACGGGTGGTAAATATTATCCCTTCATAGGAGAGACAGAAGACAGGCTCTACCAGAGATGGTCTTGTGAGGTTCTTCCAAAAGAAGGCATGAGATTGGGATGTCCTGAGGAGGGCCAGGGACCTGGAGAAAATCAGAGGTCCCCGGAGCCATCTGTGAGGGGTTGCCAGCTAGACCACAGTCTGGGTCCTGGGTACTAATCTCTAATGTATGGTGGCTTTGATGCTTCTGATTTGAATTCTTTGTGTTTAATAAACCAGACAGTGTCTCACTGGTATCTGATCAAAAGCAGAGTGCGTCTTCCCTTTCTTTTTCTAACACGGTCCTTAAAGGGCCCTGGGGATCAGAGAGTATACATAAATGGAATAGGTCTACCAGTCCCCCAGCCCTATGACATCTCCATAGCACTGCTGGATGGACCTGGAAAACATAGAGTTGGGAAGGAGAGGTAAGTACTTAATTTTTTTTATTACTTTTTTATTATTTTTTACATTTACTTACTTGTATATGGGGGTGGGCACATGTGCCACAGTGACATTGTAGAGGTAAGGAGGACAACCTGTGGGAGTCAGCTCCCTCCGACTTGTGGGCCCCAGGAGTCAAACTTAGGTCATCAAGTTTAGCAGCAAGCTAAACCCACTGAACCATCTGACAGGCCCAGAAGTAAATATTTAAACGGAGTTTCTTTTTTTTTTTTAATTTAAAGATAGCATGCAATTTGATACATAATAAATAGTAGGTATGGGCATATGTACATATGTGTGTGTTTAACCAGACGAAACCAGCCTTCACTGACTTCCACACAAACCTTTGTGATATTTGTGACATAGTTTCTCTCCAGAGTGTTTGTCTCAGAGCAGAAGAGATGGCTCAGCTGTGAAGAGCACTGGCTGCTCTTGCAGAGGATCTGGGTTTGATTCCCAGCACCCATATAGCAGCTAACAATCATCCATAATTCCAGTTCCAGGTGAATTCAATGCCCTCTTCTGACCTCCAAGAGCACTGCATGACACGGATGTACTTACATACATGCAGACAATACACCCATACTCATGAAATAAAAATAATAAATAAAATATATTTTTTTAAAAAGTGTCTCCAAAGAGTTCCTGGTTTGTCAAACCAAATCTTCAGCCAGGCTGCAAAAGGATCACAAAGGCATGGTAACAATGAGGCTGTCTTACCTTGCTATAAGCAAGGACCAAGTCCCAGGGGAAAGGTAACGACCACTGAAAACACAAAGGCAGTCTGTGCTTTGAAATGCAGCCCAGTGACAAGGCAGGGCTTGCTCCATAGGGGCAGGTGGCCTGGACTTTGTCCTGTTTGCATGGCAAACACAGTGGAGGAAGCTGACTGTGCTGAAGGCTGGTAAGCCTCTGACCTGCTTTTCTATGTTCGTGGATCAAGCATTGGGACAGAGAAGGAATTTGGCCAGGACAGCCTGCTACTTGTGTAAACTTGGTGTTGGGGCTAGGGGAGGAGGGTGGTATAAGGCAGGTGGACTACCAGGCTCCAACAAGCATCCTCACATGCCTTTGACCCTGAGCCAGAGTCTTCCGCTAGCCTGACACTCTGGGCTGCCAACTGGGAACAGACCATGGCTGCCTGCTGAGCCGTGCTGTGATTCATGGGGTCACAGGAAGCACACAGCATGGGAGGGGAGAACAGCGCGTTGGGTGGTCACATTCCAGATGAGGCTATGACTCTGGTAGGAGTGAGAGAACCTGATCTACCTTCCTTCTTGGGCTCTCCAGTCATGACTCATCCCACAAATGTTCAGTTGGGCTTGGAGCATCCCGCATAGTCCTCATGACGGAGTCCTCATTTTGAGGCCTAGTGGCAGAAACTGGGTCTCTGTCTCCTAACTCTGAGTCCTTTCTCTTCTTGACTGGCTAAGGAGGTCTTCTCCAAGTTGGGGGTGGCTTGCATCATGACTCTAATCCCAGACCAACCTGACTAACCTACTGTTTCTGTGACTGCCTTTTCCAGAATTTCTAGATGTGGGGACAACTGTTCCCAGCCCCTTGCTTCTTGATAGGAGGGAGCTACCTCATCTAGGCCCCATGGACAGCTCCAGAGAGAAGGCCAGACATGAAGCACATCAAGGGCCAGGCCTGGATGGAGGGCCTGAGCGAAATCTAAAGTAAGGTACATGTGGGACTTCCTATTTCCTAGTAACCACGCCAGGAAAAAAACAAAGAAACAGATAAAAATAATTTTATTATTATGTTTATGTGTATGAGTGTATTCCCTGCATGTGTGCAAGTGCTTCCATGTCAGGCAATGCCCTCGGAGGTCAGAAGATCCCCTGGAACTGGAGTTTTGGACTGCTGTTAGCAGCCATGTGGGTGCTGGGAATTGAACCCGGGTCCTCTGCAAAAGCAGCCAGTGCGCTTAACCGCTGAGCCATCTCTCCAGCCCTGGCAAAAATAATTTTAAACATATATATATATATATATATATATTCTGCCTCCTGAGTACTTGGATTAAAGATGTGTGCTGCAACATCCAGCTTAATATATAGAGAGAGATAAAGATATCTCTCTCTCTCTCTCTCTCTCTCTCTCTACATATATATATATATATATATATATGGGGGCAGAGCTCATATCCCAGGCTATCTTGAACTTGCCGTATAGCTGAGGATGACCTTGAACTGCTGATCCTCCTGCTTTCTCCTCACTAGCTGGGATTATAGGCATTTGCCACCAAACCTGGTTTTTCTTTTTTTCTTTCTTTCTTTCTTTTATTTATTTATTTTGTGTCTGCACATGTGTGTATGGTGGATATGCACATGTATGTGTGTATATGTGCACATGTGTGTACAGGTTCACATCCCCATGTGTGAGGCAGAGGCCAGAGAAGAACGCTGGGCACACTGCGGTCACCCTTCACTTTATTCCTTTGAGACAAAGTCTCTCACCGAACCTGGAGTTTGCTGGTTTTCAGCTAGGCTGGTGACCAGCAAACCCCAGCGATCCTCCTATCCCCCCTCAGCTTCCAGAGCTGGGGTAACAGTTATGTATGACCACACCCTGCTTTGTGTGTATGTGTTCAAATAAGCTTTATTTTATTTTATTTTTTAATTATTTTTATTACTTTTTTATGTGTATGAATGTATTGCCTACATGTATGTAAGTGCACCTGTGTCATGCAATGCCTTCAGAGGTCAGAAGAGGGTGTTGGATCCCCAGGAACTGGAACTACAGACAATTGTTAGCTACCATGTGGGTGCTGGGAATCAAACCCAGGTCCTCTCTAAGAGCAGGCAGTGCTCTTAATCGCTGAGCCATCTCTCCAGCCCCAATGTTCAAAAAAGCTTTAAAAACAAATTATTATTTTTTACTAAATCTAGTTATTCTTTTTCTCCCTTAAAAATATCCAGCTTCATCACCATCATAGATGTAGAACAAGACAAAACCACAGAGTTAGACTAAGTGCAGACAATATACATATTCACCTGCTCTGTTATGTGTTCCTCAACCCCAAATATTGTTTGAGATGAAATGTATTCTGTGGCCAAGAGGATGAAGGTTTGGGTTTAAACAGACTCCAAAATGGATTGGGCAAAACCTGGCTCCTTTCTCCCAAGCTTTCAGCTATGACAGATGAAGATGGAACTTCTCAAGAAAGTGTCTGGCACTAATACCCTAGATATCACCCTGGTGTCTCTTCCCCTTTGGTCACAGCCATAACTAGCACACTGTTTATGACAAACTGACTGGATAGCAGAGGTGTGCAGTGCAGGCTGATGAACTCACGATGAAGACAGCTACCTTGGTGTAGGACTAGTATCAGAGGTGCTGGGGTACTGGGGAAGGAGGGCTTTGTTCTTACTCTGATCCGCTGAGTCAGTAAAGCACTGAGGCAGCCAGAGCTCAGAGTCTGAGGTGCTGCAGAGAAAGGCCAAGTCTCTTTCTTACCACTGCTCCTCCCGCCAGAGGTAGAAAGCATTTACTCTGGAGAATCTGCTGAACTCCCAAAATAATGTGGGTGAGGGAGGAAGAGGGAACAGTGGATAAATTCGAACAGCTGAAACACAAGACCCCAGGACTGAACTGTCTGTGAAATGCCTGGGCGTGAATAGGTGGAGGGACCCCAGGAAGCAAGTCAGAGGGGAAAATCAGCTGATAATCTAGGAAACTGGCAGTACTGTGAGGGGAAGGTTTTCCTGAATACCTAACTTTCACAGAGCAGGGGCCAATGGAAGATGACTTAATACAGTACACAAAGGATCCAAACTGAATTGCTTGAGGCAAAGTAGAACAGCTTTAGACTCTTTGAACAGAAGGTTGGCTAAAAGAATGATTAAAGGACATGAGTAATGGTCACACTAGGGGCCCTCTGGCACTTTAAGTCCTGAGTTGGTCAGCAGGTCTCCATCCCAAAGAGCAAAGCAGGCACCAGTGGGCCCTGGAAATCTGTCTGTAGTGTGTAGACCACAGAGACCTGGGCTCACATCAACCTTCTCTGGTTGCCCTGGAGGGGCTTTCTCCTTGGCCAACATGCTGTGTGCTGGGCCAGGAAAATACCCAGGAATGATCATCAGCACCAGAGAGGCTGTTCTGGAACACGTCCACATCTGCCACCCCTCTTCAGAATTGCCTCCACTGATGACCCCCGTGTCTGTCAGTGCTACTGCCCACTCCCAGGACCGCTCCACATTCAGGGCCACTTTGGTGGGCTCCAACCCCACTAAACTGTTTCACATCTGTGTCACTGCTGAAGAGTGCCAGGCTGCTGTGAGCAGCAATCCCCCAGCATTTGACTCATGGCAGAAGCTCCATGAGTGTACAAAGGGAAGCTCCACCTTGCACCACAGATGCACAGAGCAAACATATCCAGCTTTTTTTTTTCTTGTCTTTTTGAGACAGGGTATCCCTGTAGCCCCAACTGGCCTGAAACTCACTATGTAGACCAGGCTGGCCTCAAACTCACAGAGATCCACCTTCCCGTGCCTCCCAAATGCTGGGATTAAAGGTATGTGCCACCACACCAGCACATATTCAGCTTTTTTGGAGGTGCTGGGGATCTGAACCCAAGTCCTTGTGCTTCTGCAGCAATCTCTTACCCACTGAACCATCTCTCTAGCCCCACGCCCAATTTTAGGCAGTGCTGGGGATCAAACCTAGACAAGCACTCTACCAAGGGAGTGTGGGAGACAGTCTTGAGTCTAGGGTGATATTGCAACTGCCAGGGTCCAGGAATCCTGGCTCTGTAATCTGAAACCCAGTATGCTAATGAGGCATCCTACCCTCTATTCTGTGATAGGACATTAAGTCTGTTATGCTAATAGGATGCCAAGTCTGTTATGCTAATAAGGTATCCTACTTGCTGTACTGTGATAGGACGCTAAACCTGTTATGGTAATAAGGTATCCTACTTGTTGTGCTGTGATTGGACCATTACCCCTATATAAGCTTGTGCCTTCCTGAAATAAACCAGACCTGTGTCACTGAACCTGGTCTCCTGTGCCTGAATACAGCTCCGCGGACACAGTCTCCTCACCAGCCCTGGGGTCCGGGACCAGCCCTGGGGTCCGGGACCGGGAAGAAGCAGCAAGGACAGGAGGTAGCACAGGGCAAGCAGAAGAGCTGCCTCAGCACCGGGCGAACAGAAGAATGGCCTCAGCCCAGGGCGCTTCGACGCCTGTGAGAATGAAGGAGTGGCACCCACAAGAACAGAGGAGGGGCCGCTGGCAGTGACCACAACAGAGCTACATCCATATCCCCTATGTATTTTTTTTAAGACCAAAATTTTATTTCAGTTGTATATTACCAATAGGGCATTTTACATTTTTAAAAGCAGGGTCTCACTATTTAGCTCAGGCTAACTTCAAAACTGCAGTGTACCTCAGGCTGGCATGAATTCATGATTCTCCTACCCCAGGCTTCCAAGTGCTGGGATTAGAGTGAACCACACATCTACACTGCATTTTCCATTCCATTTTGCACGGCAAGTCATTGAATCCTGTGAGAATTTTAGAGCTCAATTCAGGGCCAGCTAGGTATCTTAGCAGGTAAAGGTGTTTGCCACCAAACCTCACGACTTGAGTTGAAGCCCTGGGACCCATGTGGAAGAAAGAGAGATGCTACCTCTACAAATTGTCCTCATGCACACTGTGGCACACATGCACACACACACACACACACACACACACACTAAATAAACATAATAAAAAATTAAAACTCAAATAGTAAATTTTCACCAGAAATATTCATTCTGTATTCGGATTTCATTAAATTTATAGTCATGAAACTATACACATCCTTGAATTCTGTATATACTTAAAAGGTTTTCAGCAACTAAATTGAGTATTTGTTCAATTAGAAAGCATTTCAGTGAATTAAAATTAAACATTCAAGTTGATTAAATAAAATCGTTAAATCTCCTACTTCAGTATAAAAATTTAATGTCAATTGACTAAAATTAAATACAACTGGGGCTGGAGAGATGGCTCAGCAGTTAAGAGCACTGGCTGCTCTTTCAGAGGACCCAGGTGCAATTCCCAGCACCCATATGGCGGCCAACAACCTTCTGTAACTCCAGTTCCAGGTGATCTGATGCCCTTTTCTGACCTCTGTGGGCATTGCACAACTTGGGCGCACTTACACACATGCAAGCAATACACATAAAATAAAAATAATAGTTTGTTTTTAAAGCACTGGCTGCTCTTGCTGAGGACCCAGGTTTGGTTCCCAGCACCCACACGTGGCTAACAAGTGTTTGTAACTCCAGTTCTAGGGGATCCAGTGCCCTCTTCTGGCCTCTTTGGGGATTGCATGACATGGGTGCACTTTGCTTGCATGTGCAAGCAAAACACTCACACATAAAATAAAAATAAACATTTTAATTAAGTACAATTTACAGTTCAATGGCACTAGTTGATTTTGAGCAGTCAGTAGTACTTGTGGCTGAAGATATATGCATAGCTCACTGGAAGAGAGCACTTGCTTAGCATGCCCAAGCCCTGGGGTTTGATTCCCAGGACTACAAAATCAAGCATAAAGGCAATGCAACAGTATCTGTAGTGACCTATAATGGGGTTCACTGTGATTCCCAAGGCAGCTCCCTCTCCCACTGGCTGGGAGATGGGTGGCCATCTCAGACCACAGGGCTGGAGAGCAGCTTCCAGCAGTGAACTGACTGCAAGGCAGGCTTTCCACCTGGACACTCACCAGAAATAGAACCCAGTTCCTCCTCTGGCTTCAAGTGCCTTAGTCTACCCAGGCCAATTTCAGCCATGGAGAGGCATTTACCACCCAGAAAACCCATGCCATTAGCTGCAGGTCACATTTGTGCTCCCATCAAGAAATGTTTTCTTCTAAAAGCGTGTGGCACCCGTCATCTGTAAAGCAGTGGGTCAGCGCTCTGCGACAGAGCCCAGGCAGGACCCACAGGGCTCCAGGGACGCCCAGACACAGCGCAGCTTGTGGGCAGAGCAGGCCTGCAAGGTCCGTGGTCCCCAGCCCAGGCTGAAGACTGAGCTGTCAGCCTGAGTCCTGAATTAGACTTGGGCAGGCTCCCCTCTCCAGCCTGCAGGGAAGCTGGTGGTCCACCAGGCCAGCAGCCCAGTCCCTCTGTATGAGATGCTTTAGGGCCCTCCTAAATTTGGAAGGAGGGAGTCTTTAAGACCGGAGAGCACTCTACAGGAATTCTTCTTGTAAGTTCCCTGCATCCTTTGAGTCCTTGAGAAAGAGCTGGGTAGTTATTCATTTGTTTGTTGTTGTAAGGGTTTGGTTTCTGGGTTTGTTTGTTTGTTTTGAGTTTTGTTATTGTTTTTGAGACAAGGTCTCCTGTAGCCCCAGCTGGCCTGGAACTCAGTATGTAGAGCAAGCTACCCTCAATCTCAGAGAAATCCACCTGCCTCTGCCTCCCTAGTGCTCGAATTAAAGGCATGGGCCACCAAAGGTGTGGGCCACCACTCTGCCAAGAGCTGGGTAGTTCTGTTTTGTTTTTTAATTTTTAAAAAGATATTTTATTTATTATTTTTATTTTATGTGTACCCGTGTCATGCAATGCCTGGGGAGGTCAGAAAAAGGTATCGGATCCCCTGGTGGAGTTATGAACAATTGTTAGCCACCATGTGGATACTGGGAATTGAACTCAGGTCTTCTGCAAGAGCAGCCAGTGCTCTTAACCACTGAGCCATCTCTCCGGTCCTGAGAGAGCTGAGTAGTTTTAAAGCCATGGAATGCTTGCCTGTTGCCAATAAGTAACAGTTGTTTATACAACAAACATGTATTGTGCCTCCACTAACTCTGTGACACTATTCTAGTTACTCTAGGGGTTAATGAGATTGATAAATTGTGACTTTGCTCTTGACGACTTCCTTGTCCCACTGGATAAGCACATGTGATTGTAGCTGTATGAGGTAAAGGTTGTAAATGCTGGGTAGATCTAAGAAGGTTTCCTGGCTGAGGTAGATCCAGGAAGCCTTCCTGGATGAGGTGCTGTTTGCCTGGGCCTCAGGACAAAGGGTGTTATCTGGAGACAGACAAGCACAAGTACCAAGGCCAAAGACAAAGCACACGGCTACATAGCCATCTGAGAGTGCAGGGAGCAGGATAGGATGCAGGAGTGTGGTCATCAGGGCAGAAGGTGAGGCACAAAGCTCACCTGAGGAGAGGACAGAGAGGTCCTATTTGGTTTGGATAGTGACTGTAGAACAGACTGGAACCTTGTGAGGTGGTAAACCAGAAGTTGGAAAGGGTGGGGAGCAATCACTGGATAATGGAGCTAAGATGGAAGACGGCAAGGTGAGACCTGTTAAGGGACAACATCTGGTGCTGACCGGATGAGAGAGAAGAAGAGGGTCAAAGCCGCTTGGCAGGTACAGAGAGTAAGGAAGGCTGTGGAGAAATGTCCATGGTAGGGATGGCATCACAGCCTCACGGGACAAGTGGAGAACCAGAGGATATAAAGTACAGACAGAATTTTGAAAGAGATGCATTTTTGCCCTGGAAACTATTATTGACTATGTCAATGCTGTTGTAATAAAATGCTTCTACCAATTATGCGGTTATTAAATAAATTTTAAAAAAATAAAGTACAGACAGAAACATGGAGCACAGAAGTGTAAGAAGTGATCCCCAGGGGCCGGGAAGACAGCTCAGCTGGTAAAGGTGCTTGCCACCAAGTTTGATGACTTGAGTTTGATCCCCAAGATCCACAATGTAAAAGGATGTCCTCTGATCTCACATATGTGTTATAGGCATGCCTGTGTGCTTATGCACACATACACTAAATAAATAATGTTTTTAAAAAGAACCAAACCCAAGATTGGGACTGAAGGTTTTAAGGAGAAGTAATCAAAGCTGAAAAATGAGATTTCCCTAACCAAAGAATGCAGAATAGAAGGGGGGGCTGCTCATGGGAAGACAGCAATTTTTGAGGAGCCAAGCAGGAAACTGGAGGTCGATGTTCTTCCCATACTGGGCAGAGGTGGCAAACTAACCACCTCTCTGGTTTCAAACTTTTTTTAATTTTAATTTTAATTTTTAAAATTGTAGTGTATGTATACCTCATGTGTGCAGTTACCTGTAGAAATCAGATGAAGACATCAGATGCCCTGGAGCTGGAGTTACAGGTGATTGTGCACTGGGAATTGAACTCTGGTCCTCTGGAAGAACGGGAAGCACTTTTAACAAGTCAACCATCTCCCCCTTTTGTGTGTTGAGAATCAAACCCAGGGCCTCACCCATGAAGACAAGTCCTCTACCACTGACCTATACTCTTCAGGCCCTTAAATACTTTACTTTAGCTGTCAACATTTCCAATCCCAGGGCTGGGGCTACAGCTCAGTAGTAGAGTTCCCATTTAGCATGCACGAGCTCCTGGGTTCCATTTCCAACACTGCTAAAACAACTAACTACCTACCAACACATTTTATATCACATGAAATTCTTGTTTCTGGATCTTCTTGGAGAAAGCACAAGCTTGACACTGTAAGGCTGCATCCTTGCCCGACAGCTCCATAGCAGCTGAGCAGCAGCTGCCCTTCTTAGATGGCCCATTCAGTCTTCATTTGTCACAGGCCCTGCTGACACTCACTACTATCGCTTCTGACACTGTCAGTTGTCAATCGCCACCCTGACATGTGGGAGACAAGCTTGAGCCTAGGGTGATATTGCAACTGTCAGGGTCACAGGTGGTTTCCAGGAATCCAGGCTCTATAATCTGAAACCCAGTATGCTAATGAGGCATCCTACCCTGTATTCTGTGATAGTACGTTAAGTCTGTTATGCTAATATGATGATGCTAATAAGGTATCCTACTTGCTGTACTGTGATAGGACGCTAAACCTGTTATGCTAATGAGGTATCCTACTTGCTGTGCTGTGATTGGACCACTACCCTTATATAAGCTTATGCCTTCCTGCAACAAAGCAGACCTGTGTTGTTGAACCTGGTCTCCTGTGTCTAAATGTGGCTCCGCTGACACAGTCTCCTCACCAGCCCTGGGGTCCGGACCGGGCAGAAGCAGCAACGACAGGAGGCAGCACAGTGCAAGCCAGGCAGGCAGAAGGGTGGCCTCAGCCCAGGGCAGGCAGAAGAGCGGTCTCAGCCCAGGGTGAGCAGAGGAGCAGCCTCGACGCCCGTGAGAACGAAGGAGCAGCACC